CCCAAATTCAATGGACCTATTCTACTGATCTGCCCTTTGCTCTCTCTCCCTCGTTTGGTTGTGTGGGCCCAACACATCTATTCACAACCTTTCCCTGGTGGGTCCCTCCCTATACCCCTAACTACCATTGTATTATAGCTACAGAACTGTGTTATGGGCTGGTCGCAGTTCTTGAATCCACCAACCAACCATATATGAATAGGAAAATTATGACAGGATCCAACTGTAAGAATGATCCTAATGGGGTAGAGCCCAGAGGCTTTAAGAAACCAGACAGACACATACAAATGCAGATATTGGGAGTAATGTTTACCGGGTGAAGATCAATGAAATTCCTTGGTAGGCTGCTTCTGTCTCCAATCCCCTCAAAACTACTGTGGAATCTAGAAGCATCCTGTATAACTCAAAACAACAATCAATGAGAACAACATACAACATGCTTGTGGGAATGCCCAAAACGATGCATAAAATGCAAACAGAACCTCCATATCAGCCATACTCACTTGAGGGAAGGTAGCACAAGGACCTTGAGGTGTTGGCATCACAGGGCAGCCCCATGCATCAGCCTGCATCTGGAATGAATTTAATGTTCTTCAAAAACTAATATATTACATGCATGCAATTTGATTACTATCAAGCAACTCAAGTCAACTCAAAGAAGCCTTGTCCTGACTATATGGGGTTGGCTACATGAATCCAGTTCTGTCTTTCCGCTCTGTTCAGTGTCATATCCGTTGTATGACAATTCAATTCAGTTCTTTGTCAAATTACTAGGGCCAACAGTAGCATACTTCTGTAGCTTTTTGTTTAAGACTGCTGTTTGTATGTGAAGGAATGCTGTGCATGCTAATATTGATAACCGAAAAAGTTGAAATGAAAGATAAAAGTTTATCTACTGGCGTGAAAGCCTAACACATTTCTGTCATGAACAAATTATATTCTATGGTTATCAAAGGATTTGAAGAAGGAACTAATATATTCAGTGATGGACTTTGGTAGCTTAAAGTTTCAACAAACATTACCCCTGGATAATTCTTGCATGGCCAACCTTCTGGAGACTGCCACATGTTGTAGCTGGGGTGACCCCACATTGGGACATTGGGGGGGTTAGTGCCAGGATGGCCCCATACAGGATAGTATTGACTGGCTGAAAAACCATGATTAGAATGGTAAGGAGGGAAAGCCATGACAGGCTTATGAGGATAAACCCTTTGGACAGTGTCTCGTGGATGTTGCCATCTCCAATCATCTTCCTTTGGTGCAATGTGCCTTCGATGCATTCGATATTTCTGTGAAGACAGTAAACAGTCACTCAACTAATTATCTTGAGATAAATGAATGGTGATCTCACTAGTTACAGTGTAAAGATTTTCCAATTCTTAAACCACTTGATGGATGACATAATTCAAGATCACATCAAATCATCAATGAGTCCATCTGTTGTTAAAACCCCTTGCCAAACTGTTAAACCAATTCCAATACTGACCTGGAGGTGGCTTGCCACATTGTGTCTTGTCAAACCCTCTACTTTCATTAACTCTAGAATTCGAGAAGGGATTGCCTGGTTGATGCCTAGTTGCTCAACAGCCTGTACAAACCGTTTGTGCAGTTCTGGTGTCCAGTCAACCTGGAACCCAAAACAATCCAAATAAAAATATGTAAAATATCATTCTTCAATGCCAAGTCATAGACCGAAAGGCAGGCAAATCTAATTCTAGTTAGCAGGGTTGAGCAGTTCTAGTGCTTTTCAAGCCTGTATGTCAATAACCATAATATTCGTGGCAACTAACCTGTATCAATATTGACCAGGAAAAGTCAATTGAGACAGAGATGCCTAAACAAATTTTGAATCTCTAGTTTACCCTTCATAAATCAAATTACCTTCATCTTCTTCTTACTAGCTTTGTTCCCACATGAATTAGGAAGAAGAGATGCCTTATTTGGGTTGTCAGTATTTATGCTAGAATCTGCTACACTGCTCTTGTCCCGTGGATGAGAAGATATGTTGCTTCCAGTTTTTGAATCATCAGTTGAGTCATCCTCCTCGAATCCACCCTCTTCAGGTTTTGGTGATTGGTTTACCTTGAGAGTAATTTCTGCAACTGAGTTGTTGCAAGTAGTATCGACAGATTTTGATTCCCCCTCTTGGTCGCCAATCACTTTCTCGAGTAAAGAGCTAGAGTTGTCTTGGCAATACCCATCACCTAACAATCTTCCCCCTTGTTTCAACTGTGGGGTTGAGGGTGCTGAGAACCTATCTCTGGCTTCTGTTTGCTCATTATCATGTTTGAGGTCCTGTACTTCATTCTCTTTTTCTAACAGGATTTCCTTCTCTGATTTGCTGGTCTCCACTTGGAGTTGAAGCATCGAAACTACAGTTTCTCTGACAGGCTTCAATGATTTGGAGATGCCACTTCCCCCTGCATTGAAGGCCTGTTCAGGATAGATCAGAAAACTTTTCCATTTTCAGTTCATGGCATTAGCAGTGCCTTTCAAAAGAAATAAAAGATTGAAGTTGTCAAAACACAATAATCACAACGAATTTATACCACAAACTTACTCTGTGGACCACGTGCTGCCATATGTTCCTTAATTTATCTTCAGATAATGGTTTCTGAAGGAACTCTGCTGCACCAAGCTGGGGATAATATGCAAGTTATGGCATCAATGAGAACAGTCAGCATATTTGTGCAGCAAAATCTTCCCTATGTTATTGATAACAAGGAGGCCAGATTAGAAAGCTTACAGCAATGCATTTCATCATGGTGTTTAGACAATTAACACTTGAGGTCACTGCAGTAGAAATTATCCATATATCATATCAGCTTCAGCTGTAAAATATGCTAAAGAGACAAGAAGGATTGTAGAACTCATTTCATTTCCCCTCATTCCTGTAGTAATTTATTCATAACAACCTTTCCAGTTTTCATATTGACTTAAAATTACTGTTTGATAATTAGAATATCCAATAAAACTAATAGCCAAAGGACAAAATGGCTTTTAAGGAGAAAAAAAGAAGACAAGTTTTAAATTTTAAAGAAAAAAAATTATACCAATTCTATAATAACCAGAATACAAGAGCAAAATTTAACCCATGAGCGAAATATATTAACTTGTTACATCTAAAATGGAGAGGCTATGATAGTTGAGCAAACTTACTGACAGTTGGCAAATCTTTAGCAGTCTCAAGGAACCTGAAACTGTCATGGCTCTTGGCCACGCTTACCTGTAACCACAGAAGCAGGACAAGAAAAGAAATTGATAATATACATAGCATTACCATAAGACACTTTATGTTTCCCTCTGTTATGTTTTAGATTATTAGTCCAAATATTCTGGAACCTTGGTTGCAGTTGAACTTTGTTACCTCTACTATTGCAACATGGAAGCTGTCTGGTTTGTTTGCAATTGCCGTCAAAGCTTCACTCTCCTTGCAGAATGTGGAAACTGAAAATAGTAAACATGGTGTAACAATGAAGAAAAGTGAGATCTGAGACGAAAGTAATTTGTTTTACCCCTTCAAATTCCACTGACTGAAAATTCATTTTCTTATCTTTCTGCTGTTTCTTTTTTTTTTTTTTTTTGCTGGGTTGGGGGGCTGGAAAATCAATTAAACACCTTTAGAAATTAAAATAATGGTGGTTATGCTATACTTGCTCTAGATTGGTGAGGTCTGTATTGTAACCCCAAAGGGTTGGCTCACATGGCTGATCTCTCATCTCATTCAAAAAAAAGGGAAAATTTTGGGGGTAGAAACAAATCTATCATGGAGAAAAATCATAAAATTTGAAACAAAGTGAATATGGTTATATATTCCAAGGTTCTGTGACATGTATTTCTAACTACTGGAAGAAAGTGTATCCAGGATCTTGGAAGAAATTCCATGTTAAACAATGGCTAAAGTAAAATCTCTCGAATCCTTAATTTAGAAAGAGAAACTGCCTCATTTTTTTTTTTGGATGAGGCTACAGCCTACAAGCTTAATTATAGATCCTTTGAGCATTTCAAAAAGTTCCTACCCAAGTTTGCACCACCTCTAACTATTCTAGAATGTATGCACCAAATAAAACCCAAAGCCATGTTTAATTTCCATGAAGAATCAAATAGTAACAATTTAGAGTAATCAATGGAAATTTGAGATGACTATAAGGATGATGTCAAGTATCAAATATAGTAAAACAAAATTAGCTGAAACATGAAAAATGCAAAAAACAAGAAAAAAAAAAGAAAGACACCAAGTTTTAATTCAGGAGAAATAAATTGTTAATCTAAAACTAAGAATGAAGAGGAAATTGATGTGGCTAACCAATATAGTCCATTTCTTCGAGCTTCGATTTTATCTCATCTGCAGAAACACTGTCTTCATCAAGGAGAAGTACCCTGAGGCCTTTGGGGAAATCCTTCCAGCCCAGAAGATCATCAGCTGTGCAAACCATAGCTCTCTTAGCATTCTTTCTTAGGCTAACCTATTAAAGTATGAGATTTCGACTTGTCAACATCCTACTAATTGTACAGTTCCCAGATCATTATCCTGCATGACCCAACGAAGATTCCATCAGATTCCCATTCCTCAATCTAAGAAGAATTATTGGAGAAGGATATTAAGAGAAAAAAACACAAATTCTTATATGTTGCTTACAAATTCATGATTTTCCAGTTCAAAAAATAAAAAACAAACCGGAGTTTACCATTTGAGAACTAAAAGGTATATGGGATAACAGCTTAGAAGACCATACCTAATGAACTACTCATAATCAGGAGAATTCATCCAAGTTGTTAAAAGACAACCTTGGACTAATCCGGAAACAAAACTCCGTTGCAACCGTGAGATCATAGTTCTGCAGGTTGCATATAAAGAACCCATTGAAGTTTCAGACACCAGTCTAAAAGTCTACGTCGAAGAAGAAGAAGAAGAAGAAGAAGAAGAAAAAGAAGAAGAATCCATCAAAATTTTAAGATCCTATTAGTGCATGCCAGTTCTAAAAACCAGGAATCTGAAATAAACCCATTTAATTTTTCAGAAATTAAAGATCAGACAAAAAATCCGAAATCACGGTAATAAAGATCGGAAGATAGTCAAACAAGTACCTCCAAACCCATTAATGAGAGAAGGAAGAAAACTGTTATATAATGCTAAAAAAATACGACTCAGAATACATTAATAACCAAAATACCTGCAAATGCCAAGAAAAAAAGGAAGAAACTGATCAACCCAGCAGAGAAAAACCAAACAACGCTAGAAACAGAAAAGGCAGTCACAAACATTGAAAATATCGACTTTTATTTCTCTATCTACATGCTATAAGAAGACAAGCTCTTCTCACCTGCTGGTTTTACTTTTCTTCACTTGCAAATAGAACGCTTGAGAGAGACAGAGCTTACACTCTATGGAGTTAAAGAGCTATAATGCGGTTTCTCGTGGCGCCTCTGTACAGTGTGCAGTTGCTGTCGGTTGCTCCAGACCACAGAAAATGCAGTCTCTCTCTGTCCCGGAAGAGGTAAAAAATACTACAATTATCTAAACAAGAGACCAATGAGTAATAACTCCTCTCTCTAATGGATTCCATGCACCCAATCAGATTACTTGACTACCCATTAAACCTTCATATTATGAAATGATCACCTTTGGTGATTTGCTGCTTGCTTTCCCACTCCCATCTTGCTTAAATTTCAGTTCAACGACAGATCTCTTACGTAAGACAGCATTTCTCTTTCCAACCCCTTCAGCTCCAATCTGAGGGTTTAAAGTTTAAACTCAAAAAGCCATTAGCCATCCCATGTGAGGAATAGTTACCTTAAACTCGTTGACCCTTGTAATGGAGCGGGTCCACCCGAACTTTGATCCCATACTAGGCATGTCTATATTTTTTACGGGTTTGGGTTGTTAAAACGATTCATAAAAATGGGATGAATWTATATTTTGATGTACAATAAATCTGAGTTGGATAGATGCAATAATAAGTGGAAGGGTGGGATCTATTTTGGGTTAAATTGAAATGGAGCCGATATGGGTCCTGTTTGCTGATTTTGGGTCTGACGAGACCTAAAACCTTTTTCAGATCCACATTCGGATTTAGCTGGATATGCTGTAGATTCAATCTAGTATTGATACGTATCTAGCTCATCATATGAAAGGCTAAAAGTTTGTATTTTTCAGAACTCTTTTATTTTAATTTGATGAACTAAACAGTGGGATGAATCAGGTTAGCAATTCAACTAAACAGGTCATGAATCGGTTTTGATTTAAAATGGTATTAATCTTCGTTAGGTCAACCAAAAAGGTAAAATGCCAGCAGTACTTGGGGTCTGTTTGGTTTGCGATCGGATTCTGATTATTGCTATTTAGTTAAACTGAAAGTTTGAATCGGAATCAGTCAAAATTTCTAGTTTTGCGCCTATTAACGATAGAGATTTGGAAGAATGTTTTATTAGGGAGGGTCAAAAGAGTCTCAAGATATTTAATTTAATAGGAAATAAGGGATTTATTGTGGGGAATGATAAATTTTAGTAGAGAAAATTAAGATATAAGAGGGTTTTTAATATTGCATCAATTTGGTTCAGTTCTATCAGGTCTGATCCATTAACAGCCCTACATATAATGTCTGTTTGGGAGGGCTGAAGTGCAGCTAGGAGTGAGTTATTTTGGTTTTGGTTTTTTAGGTCTGGTTGTTTTAGTTTTAGAATATCTCGATTATCAGTTTCGGTTCTTATATTTGAAATTTTGGTTAACTGAAAATTTGAATTAATTGAAATAACCGAATAAGAAATTTAGTTTGATTATTTCGGCATTTCCTTAATTATGTTTTGCGGTTTTCCCCGTAGATTTTGTATCCCTTCCAAACTGAGCCCTTCGGATTTTGGTTAATTCGGTTAAAAATCAAGTTAGCGCAGCAGCTTCTGGCTTTTCCGAGGTGGGCAATAGACAAAGCAGCTRAACCAGATTGGCGAAAATCTTCAGCTCAACCCTCCCAACTGGGCCTACAACCACAGGCTTTACCAACTGAGCAAGCTAACAACTGTAACTATTAAACACCCACAGGGCCACAGAGCTTTGACCAACTTAGCAAGCAGAAAGACATCCTTTTTCATTCATTGTGAAAGTGGTTAGTTTATAGATTAATTGGTAATCTAGTTAGAATGCATAATTATTCTCACTCATTCTTCAATGGAAACCATGACTTTGGTCTTTGGAGCCTTGAGGTTGATTTTAAAGTTTTAGGGCCAAATATGGGCTGCGGATGGGACACTAGGTTGCTTTCTGACAGCTTTTGGGCTTTGAATGGGCAGTGTTGAGCATTTTATGGATGGCCTTGTTTCTCATTGATTCTTAAAAGGAGACATCAGGTGAGGTGAGGGCCTAAGACTAAGAGGGATTACTGTCGCATGAATTCAATATGGAAAGGGTGGAGGAGAGTGGGGTGTTAAGCCTTTTGGGGGGGCCCAAAGAGAGGTAGGTGGTAGGATGGCCCATCTTGGATGTGGGCCCCATATGAAGCCTTCTCTGTCTTCGGAGGTCAATTGGGAGTTGAATTGAGATTTGAGACCCTTTCTTTTCAGGCCCAGTTTGTCCAAACATATATTATTAACCTAACATTCTCACAAGTTTTGGCTTTGGCCGGGCTTGTGATGCAATTTAGGCATTAGCCCATGTGCATCTTCATTCCCGGTCTCCCATGCCAATTAGGACTATTCTTCAGGGGTATTTCTGCCAAACAAGTTCTTAAAAACCTACAACTACTTTTGGAAGTGGTCCTACCACAGAGAACCAGAACCAGTTGGAGATACTTTTTCATGCTTAGAGAGGTGCTACCTACCCACTACCCCCAAACCACTGAAAACCAAAAATTTCAATGATCAGATTTGAGACTTTGAAGCTCACCGAGGGAGTTAACTTTGTAATAAAATTAACGGTAGGGGTGTTCACGGTTCGGTTAGGCCTATTTTTGAAATCGAATCGGTCTTATCGGTTTCTGGAAAACTGGTACCCGAAACTGAATCGAAGCCGATCGGTTAACTGTTGGTTCGATTCGTCGGTTTTTTTATTTTTTTATATTTATAATATATATTATAAAAAATAGATAAATATATAATAAAAAATAGAAATATATATTTATAATATTATATTTTAAATAATAAATTATATATTATATATTATAAATATATAATGCATATTTATTAATTTATAATATATAGAAAATAATATATGTATATTGGTCGGTTCAATTAACCACCGATTTTCTATATTGGTTAATAGAAACCAAACCGGTACCTTCAGTTAAAAAAAAAAAAAAACTAAAACCAAACCGACCGGTTTGGTTAACCGGATTTTCGGTTTGGTTTTTTGGTTTTTCTTGCTCACCCCTAATTAATGGATTAATTAAGGGACTGTTTGAGGGATGACCTGTAGATTCAGTTAAACTGGTTCAATTACTTTGAAGTGCTTTGGATGAGCTATTGAAAGAAGCTGAAGCGGACAATCCTTGACAGCTGATTTGGGTTCTTTGGGTTTTTCACAAAGGCTGTGTTTGGTTGCAATGCAAATAAATTTGCTCTAATGCAAAACCATGGCAGTGCAAATGATTTGAGTGTAAATTCTAACCTATTTTTATTTCAAATTTTAGCTTATTTTGTTTGATTACAGTACAAATATAGTAAATTAAGACATGAAGTAGAATAAAGTAAAATCCAAACAAAAAATAAGAATCTACATTTTTTTTTTACATTTGCACTCCCATGCATTTATACTAATACAAATAAAATTACACTGCAACCAAACACAGCCTAAACATAATTTGTACACACATCGGGATTAGCTGAATCTTCAGCTCAGCCCTTCCAATCGAGCCCTAATAAGCTTTTTTTTTTTTTCCTGGAGTGTCTTTACAACTGAAAGTCAGTCACGTGTGACTTGGGAGAGCCATCACCACTTGGTTGGCCATTCACATGGAAATGAGCCACAAAGCTTACGCAGCAAGCCGGTGTTTGTTTGGAAAAATAGTTTTTCAAAATCTTTTTGTTTTTTTAGATTCAGTAATTTTGAGGGTTTTGAAGAATCACTAAATCCTTTAAGAAAATGTGTTTGGTAGAAATAATACTGACAAGCTCAAGCTTACTCCAAATAGCATGCCCATTAAACATGTGCCAAACATTGATCATACACCATGTGGACGTGGCAAAAGAATACCCTTTTCTTTAGTTATCATTTTTTTTCAGAAAGGTCACCGTTATTATTAGCCAAAAGTCCAAAAACACAAAGTGGATTGAACTGAAACCAGGTCCAGATTCATCTTTTCTGTGATAATTTGGATTTTCTGCTATTCCTTCAAGAATAAAGAGAATATCCTATGAATGCTTTGCCATCTAATCATGCTAGAACTCCTAACTTTTTAGGTTCTTCTTTTTGTTGCATATCATGTGATTAGGGCCAACCATGGCAGATAATACAGATTGGAGTACAAATTCCTTTATGAACCATTCATACCATTTTTCTGGCGTTGGCCTAAAGATGGTAGGGTAGGTAGCCCATGGGTTGATTAGTGTTTTAGGCTGTGTTTGGTTGCAATATAAATACATTTGCACTGATGCAAAATTATGGCAGTGTATATGATTTGACTGTAAATTTTGACCTATTTTGTTTCAAATTCTAAGTTATTTTGTTTGGTGTAATATAACACATAAAACATGTATTAGTATTATATATTAATAATATATGCTTGCTGGGATGAATGTATTTGTGTCTTCATGAAAATGCTTATATTCAATTTATTAATGCTGAAATCTCTCTCTCTCAAAAATTTTAGGGTAGAAAGTTAAGGGGTGGTCTTCTTATCTTTCACATAATAGATTAGAATTGGCTTGTATTTTGAAAGAGATGTTTAATCTTCCAAGAATTTGATAACCAATGACTCAATTTGGTGACTGAGTTTGTTTGACTAATGCTATGACAACAAATAATGAAAGGAGATACTAAATATAGGATGACTCAGTCTGTTGGATGATCACCTTTGATGGACAAAACATGTTTTTTACTACTGATAGAATTTTTCATGATCTTTGATGGGTTGTACTAGGAAGCATTTTGTA